ACACACACACACACACACTCGCTCACTCACAAAGACAGCGTGTTTGATGCATGGAATCAGCAGTCATGCAAATGTTTCACTTCTACAACAGCTAAAAGTAATGCGGTCTTCACAAGCTATCAGAGTTATCGTAAATACAAGTTTCCTAGTTGGAAATTGGACAAGAACAGCCTCTCAAGTCGTATTTACAACTGGGAAACTCTGAGATAATTTTGATTCCTGAGTTTACGAGTTGGGCAGCCATAAACTTTAAATATGGCGGAGGAGAGAAACATAGCCGTAGTAATGTAAATTTTATTCCTCTTTCCCCCACAACATCTACATTGCTTTCTCTTGTTGTTACAGTCATGCACATTTATATATATTAATAACTATCTGATGCAAATTGTATGAATATTGTATGCATTTTACACTGCAAAAACAGCATTTATTTGACCAAACATTTGGCACTGTCAGCAAGCTGAAAATCTAAATAGTGTGGTGAATGTTTATATGGTTACCAATGAATGGGACACTACAATTTATTAAAAATCTGTTGGATATTGACTAAATACCTTCAATACATTTTGGCTTAAATAAGATTCCCCAAATAAATGAGCAATGGGCCGTCTTCCATGATTCCTGTTCTTTCTGATAACAAAGCACTTAAATGTGACAAACTCGCTGCTTCAGAAGGAAATTTCCAGTAGCATGTGAGACCGAATGAAAGCCTCTCTTCACGTGAAACCCTGATACAGCAACCTACTGTTGCACTGCAGTTATGTGACAGCCCTCTACGGACACCTTGGCAATTGAATCGCCATTGGCTAGTAAATTTTTTTGTTTACTCGCCAGACTGATAAAAAAAAAATAAAAATAAATAAATATATATATATAGTACAGTTTCAGATATTTATAAAACTGTGCCATTTTACAAACACACACACATATATATATATATGTGTGTTTGTAAATAAACGCTGAAGAACTCCAAAGGAATTCCGTTATTTTGACAGCAAAATACAACAAAGAATATCGTTTACATGTAGCGCGTCAATTCTCTCTCTCTCTCTCTCTGTGTGTGTGTGAAACAAAGCGGCGGCGAGTCGTGCGCCTTCGCACTAGAGTTTACGGTACGTCAAATACAGGTGCGCTGCACATCCATTCAGATGAACTGAAAAACAGCACAGATCGCTTGGTGGAGAGAGAAACTCTGAAGCGCTTAGTCAGAGTGTTCTGTGAGTGAAAATATATATGTGCTAAACTTAATACTTAGCCTCCAACTCACACACTGGCGAGTAAAATCTGAGAATTGATTAGCCATTGGCTAATATTAGACATCATTTAGTCGCCCAGAGTGAAGATATAGTCGCATATGAGAGTGATTTACTCGCAATGTAGAGGGTTGTGTGAGCTCTCTCCTGTTCGGTGCAAACAGTAATGCTTTTGGAGACAAACGTGCTGCCAAGAGCAGAGCGTCCAGACAGACTTTGATGAGCTCTCAAACGCTTCGTATCACATCAAGCCTGGAGTCCCGCCGGCTCTGACCGACCTCAACATCTCACACGTTTCATTCAAAAGGCAAAACCCCATCCATCCATCTATTCTCCAAACCACATCACGTCTGTAGGGACGCTGGCGTTTGTCCCAGTGTGACGGACCAACACCCAGTCCATCAGCAAAAGCAAACCCTTCCCTACAAATCACAGATTTTAGACTGACAGCCATCAGCGTGGAAACAGAGCTTCTGCTCTTTATATTCATCCAGAGCGTGTCTGTCTGTCTGCAGCAAACGCACCGCTCCAGAACCCAGAATCGGCAGCGTCTGGACCAAAAGCAGCGCTTGAACACACGGCTCAGACTACAGCCGACTGCAAACTAACACATGCGTTCTGCGTGAGAGGAGTTAGCCGTCTATATCAGCAGCTATCAATAGTATATATTCGTCATTTAAAAGGATAAAATGAAACAAGGTTATACGAGATAAACGCAGATATATGAAATGTAAACAAAGCAGTGCTAGCTTACCCTTTTGAATATCAGTTATGTTAACTTTCTTCATTTTAATCGGCTCACGTTGTTATGAAAATATTCACATATTGAATGCTTGGCTAAGATCACGTAACATTAGAACAGCCTTCTGTCTGTGCCGCCTGCATTTACTTACTCGTTTTCATCACTTTCGCTTTAATTCTCGGGCTCTGACTCGTTCGCTAAACTGAACATCCAATCAGAGTTTTCACTCGCACCGACGACCCTGACGCCGATTCAACATCTCAGTGGAGAGAGCCGAGGTGTGGAGCACAGCGAACAAACAAACTAGCCCCACAGACGCTCACTGACGGCCGACCGTTGGCTTGGTGTGTCCCGGCCTTTAGACATAAAGAGTGAAGTGTTTCCGTGAGATCAGCGACATCCAATTCAAGACTATTTCACAGATTCTCAGAGATCAATGATTAATCAGCAGCAACAGCATCTAAAATATTATATAACAAAACTGATCTGAAATCAGGATGACCCTGACGCTCAAACACGACTTCATTTGGACACAAATAACTGGAATCAGTTATTCTTTCGGCTTTCTAGGATGTTGGTGGTCATGTGTTTCCAGCGCAGAACAATCCCTCGTCTGTCTACTTAATGGCTCAATGCTACATGTAGTCTTCCTCGTCCCTGTCTCTCTCCTGGTTATGAGCTCCATGCCGCTTCATAATACTGGGCTATTTTAGGCCCGTTTAATGTCTGCGAACTGTTTTGATGCGAGTGCTCCTGATGGGTTGGTCTCTGCTCGTTAGCGCTAATGGGTGTTGGGTGAGGCGAGGAGCGGCCGATCTCGTTTCTGTCAGGAGATCTGTGAAGACTAAGAATGAGAGAACTAAACAAGTGGCTAAACTGTTGAGTGCGTCATTAACTACTGAAAACAAAATGTATATGAAAAACTGAATAAATATCTTCACACATGGGCAGTTGGTGCAGGAACACTGGAGATGACAGAGATGAGAGATGACAGATGATGCTGATGTTTGACTGTTGAACAGCACTGACCAACCTGATGAACAAACAGGTTCATTTTTACAGGTCAAAGGGTCAGATTTTGTCCTCAACTGGCTTTGCTTCAGTGGCGACTCAAATTGTTTATCATAAAAAGTAACAAAAATGTCCTTAACATCTGTCTAATTTAACTAGATTCTACCAAATGACAGATAAATTTGTGCCAAAATACAGTGCAGCTTGATTGCACTCACACAACCTTTGACAACTAAAAATATATGCGGTGTTTCCTTCAGTCAAAAACGTTGATTTATATGGCTATTCTAACAATCCACTATATTTGGTAGTATTTTATTTGTATTTAGCATGTTTTGTCTCTGCTGTCTGTGACAAATGAGCACTGCTCTACACCGCAGCGTTCCTGCTGGAGAATCCTCATGAAGCGGTAGACAGTTACCTGTGGGAATGTGGTCAAACGCCGACGGCTTCAAAAGCTCCACAGTCTGGTCCATCTGAGAGTCTGAGACAGAGACAGAACATGACTCAATGGCAAAATATTCTCCTGAGTCATTCTGTGGAAATACATGTTTTGTAATCAACACACAAATCGTAAGTATTTCATATTTTCTGTAAACGATCAAGCAGTGAAGGAAAAACTATATTTCTCCTGCTCTAACAGTGACAGCTGGTGATTTAGTTTCCCCTTCATTGTTTGTTACACTTTGGCATGTTAAACTGTTCTTTTCAACAATCATGCAGGTTTTAAAGTATGGAGACCTTTACGGTGAGTCCAGTGACAGCAGCTGAGCAGCAGTGCGGTAAATAACAGTGTAAGTGAGCAGTAAAGCAGCACTGCCCCGTCTCTCCTGCAGCAGATGGTAATTACAGAGAACATGAAAAGGCTTTCACTTCTTCACAGCAGCCCAACGCAGCAAGACACGGCTATAAATAACCCCAGAGAGCGAGAGGGAGGGATGGATGGAGGAAAAGGCTTGAACCAGTGCAGCGGGCATCATCAGTATGCAAGCAGACGCGCAGACCGACAGAGACGCTCAACACAACATACTGAGCTGAACGCCTGTCGCCTGCTCAATCTCAGTTCAATCTCCGGCTATTTTTACCAGCGATCATTAGCTTGATATTTACCACACAGCTTTTTCCCTTTGCAACGCAACAGCAGAAGCACTGGCTCGGGTTTCCATCCAGAAAGGGAGAAAAATAACAGGCGATTTCCCCGGGGCAACAAATCCTCCACAAGCTTCTATTTGTGGGAAATTTCTAAGGACTGGACAATCCCGGGAAACTGCTTTGATGTTCATCTAATTAGGCCCGATCGCAGCGAGCGCAGAGCCGTGTGCATCAGGGAATTCTGTTTATATGTGCGCGTCTATTTTTAGCAGGACACAGCCCAGGTGCTCAGATCCGCTGCTGTTTACACGACGGATTGTGTTTGCTCTCTTACACACAGTACGGTTCACAACAAGTCTGCTGATGAACCGAAGCGATTAGGGTGAGCAGCGAGTTCAATGTTACAAGACATGTTAGTATTTACAATGTAAAACTCCAAATCAGCCCACTTCATCTACTGTACGAAACAAACACATGCACAGCGAGAAAAAGCATTTTATACAGCGGTCTGAACAAATGAGTCACTCATGCAGGTTTTAGTGAGTGACATTACATGTGACCAACACCAAAGCACCATTAATCTAAGGTTAATAAAAGTTTACCACATTATTCCAGAATTGAGTGCATTTCCATTCATGAGGTGAAGCCCCAGACCAAGAACATGCAAAAGCTGCTACTCTGTTCCTAAAGACCATACAGACTCCGTGAAAACATTGAAAACATTTGTGGATGTGTGATTTGCATGGGAAATGCAATGTTTAAGCTTGAATGAGGAACACGCATAGCCTGAAATTGATACGTGAAACTGATATGCTGTGGTTATTTAAACCAAGATGACTAAATGGATTACTTTGCATGCCAATGCGTTGGACTACTAACTACATAAGAGAGCTGTGGTTAGGCATCACCCTGTAGAGCAACAGATATGAAACCTGAGCTCGGTTTCGTGGAGCAAAGCATCTTCAGAAAACCACAAGACAATAAAACTACATGTTAGCCTTGTTGTAGTCATGAAACTGACAGCAGAACAGAGCAGAGTTTCCTACGTGGCATGCAAAACCGCAATTCCCAAAGCAAACATTCAGCCATCTACTGAGAGCTGCTTTTGTCCACAGCAACATCACTTCAACCAAAGGCTTTGACTGCAATAATAAATGATGTTTGCTGGTGGAGAAAGTATTGAAGACGGCCTTATGTGCTGATGCTGTGGGTTAGGGTGGATGTGCCTAGGTAATAGTGACGTGATAAACACAAACACAAACACAACCTTGACGCCAACATGTGTTTTAGTCCAAATGTCAGGGTGTTACTGGGCAAATTCAGCTGATATGACCTAAAGAAACACAGCTCACGACAGCCTCCTCGACACTTAGACATTCTCTATGGCAAACAAATACTTTGTTCTCTGTTAGAGTTTAAGTTTAACCCCTTAGTTTTTCCCGACCAAAAAGACTAGCTTATAGACTAGAGACAACAGGTCTACAAAAAAAAAAAAAGACTAATTAACTCAACAGGCTAAAGTTAACCCTAACCCCGCTGTTGGTCACCCTGTACAGTCTCTCGCACAAAAAACACAAACATCTGCAATGGCGTCACTGCGACACACTATTCACGAGTGGCCACGTTCATGTGAAAAGGTAAATAATTGTTTTATTTTATTCATAAAACTCAACCGGCGTCCGGTCCGTTAGCAGGCTAGAATGAGAGTGAAACCATGTCATGTCAGATCGTCTTGATTAAACTCTCATGCCACTTATAAACACGACTCACTTGTGATAACATTTTCATTTTAATTTCATTCAAATGTTTTGCTGTATTAATGCACGCTCACAAAGAGATACCATATGCAGATTTAGCTCCTGAAAATAATGAGACGTGAATAAATTGTTTGTTATATATGATGTTTTGATTATAAAGACTAAAAAGATCCTGGAAAAACACATGGCAGTGACATTAATGGTGATATATGAGAACATCCTCACTGATCTGGGTCAGATCCTGATTTAGCATCTGTGCTGTTCACTTTCTGTCAAAGGGGGCCGTATTCTAGTCTGCTAATAATCAGACGCACCTTAACGAGCCTTTCTTGCCCCACAAAAAGGAGAAAGAAACAGAACGTCCAGCAGCTTTAAATACCATCCTGTGCATCAGCACTGAACATCTGTTCACACCACAATAAACACAGCAGAGCCTCTGCAAAACTATCAATCAACACTACAAAAAATGCACAATATATTCAACAAATATTATGAACTATATTGACACCGAGACTGACGTTTTTCTAAAGTAACACGGTGCAAAAGCACCAATACAATGTAAGAAAATGTTTCTGTGAATTTATAGTATTTACTAGGCATTGGTTGCCGTACTGTCACAATAATCGTTGCAGCATCTTAAACTGCTTGATCTGTGTGTAAAGAAGATCTGTTATTCATTCATTACCAGACAGCAACCATTATGTGTATGGGAAAATGAGCTGATATCATTAGGATCTTCACATCAGTGTCCAGAATGGACAAAGACAAATGCCTGAAATGTCAAAGGGTGGGATGGCAGTGACGGTTCTGTGTAGACTGTAAGTGGACCGGTCAGATGTTGGCAGAACATCCAGTATCTGTTCCTCTCTCACCCCGCTAGCTTGCTTCGGTCTCGTTTGTCCGAACCGACCGCAATTAAAACCAGCACGCTTCCATGCGTGATCTGCAAACGAGGCTCAGGCGCTGAGAAGCCTTGCTTTGTTCAGAGCCTCACAGAGCTGTCCGAACAGCTGCCGGACGGATCGGGGATCTGCCGTCTTCTGGAGGGACACTTGTTTGTGCGGCACACGTGTTAAGCTGCTGCAGCGCGGAGCAGGCTTTCAGTCCTCAGATAAATATAAACAAGAGAAACGGATCAGAAGGAGGGACGGGACTAATAGAACAGGACAGTCATCACCACAGTCTGACCAACCCTGACGGATGATGGGAGTCCACATCACACGCTCAACCATGTGTGCTAGAGATTAGAAAAATTATGCAATTCATTAAATGTCCTTCATACAGGATCTTAAGCACCTGAAACGGCGAGAAGCAAAACTATTTCTGTTAAACATTTAATAAAGAACATTCTTAGAAAAAGGAAAATTATGAACAGAGAGGACAAAATAAGAGAAAACACTGTGATATTTCATTCATAAATTATTCCTTAATTCATAAAGTGCTCATTAAATCTACACAAATTGAAAGGATGCTAATGCTAACCGCAGGCCATAATCATGCTAAAACAAAGCTACTAGACAAATCAAAACAACTGACCCAATGATACTCATAATAAACACACTCTAACGTGCTTAATTATCATCACTATAAAACTATAGCAGGGTTTCTGTAGCGTAACTGGCGCTTGAGATCGCTGCGTTGCACTGTGTTTGATTGGAAAACCCATTACATCATTAAACAAATCCGGGATTACCGGCGCTCAGGCCAGAAGATGAAACTCATACGCAAACATCAGTGAAGAGGTTTTGAGCACTTTTGCTCCTTTTCTAACCCTAACAGCTTGAAGTCTCTTCATCTGCGCACAGATCTTATTACACACTGCATGTATCAAGCAGAAGAACCAAACGCACTACACTTCCCCGACAAGCAGAAAAACACAATCATGCGACGCACAGAGACACGTACCTGAATGGCTCTGGGAAGTCATGATGTTTGGAGCGGCTGACACGTTTTCAAAACTTCAGATGTAGTTCCAGCACAGCAGCGGTTTCTGCTCCTCGTCTCGACAAATCCAGCCAGCAGCTGTTAGAAAACAGAGATCCATGAACTAAAGCTCTTGTTTACAGACTGGACTCACAAATATCAAACACAAACCATCAGTGAGAGAGAGCAACTTCACATGCATCACACGTCTGCCATCATTTATGATTTTGTGAACAGATTAGCATCAGACACTGCTGTCAAAGCCCTCCAATACATTCAGATGAAGCTCTGCATCTCTAATGGAATTTATGAATGGTTTCACATCTTCAGAAGGGGCCTTTCACACGGACACATTCTTGAGCAGCTATGGAAAAGTCAGTCAGTGGAAAAGAAAATAGCAGGGCTAACTTCCTCAGTTCAAAGGGCAATGCAAACTAATGCATGCACACACACACACAGACACACTCGCACACACACACTCGCGCACACACTCGCACACACAGACACACACACACACAGACACACACACATACATACACACACACACAGACACACTCTCTCTCTCCGATACCGATATGGTGGCCGATATATTGTGCATCCCTAATATAAAGTGATCGGAGTTATTACAGCTCTAACCTGAATCGACAGATGTAGCCACTAAACCGCTGCTCATCTTCACGTGGACGATGACATCGAATGTGTTGGCTAATCAATATATATATATTGTTTTTACAGAAGACCAGGTCAATTGTTTAATCTCAATCATTTATATTTACTCAAATACTGCAATTAGTGAACACTAACACTTCTTATATGAGCTTCTGTTAGTGAAACCCTGTGATGGTGGTGAAATGACGGATCAGTGAATGAAGTGTCAAAAGGCTGCACAGAAAAGGAAGTGGAAACAGAACTGCACTTTCTAACAGCCTGCCCTAAATATCCACAAATTAGGGACCCACTTCACTACCCATAACAAAGACTGAGGTCCTGTCACGACAAAAGAGCATCAAGCGGGACAGAACTACCTTCACACTGCACTCAAAAATATTATAAGATTGAAAAACATTTCAGCTGCTAACTATATTCCCAACTGTTTATATTTATGTCTAGTTTGTGTGTGTATATGTTGTGAATTTGTATGTATAGTGTTATTAATGCTTTGGCAATGTAAAGATTCCTTTCCCCGTGCCAATAAAGTGATCTCAGGGTCTTCCGGACCATCAGGTTTCTCTCTCCTCCAGAAGTGACCCGTGTTTCTGCCCTCGCCAGACGGGCGCTGGAGGGTGGGTTGGGGCGCTGGGCTGCTTGGTGAAAGTCGGTTATGGAGCACATTTCTGCTAATCTCCTGACAGTCTGAGGAGGGCATTATATTCACTCCAGGGCTTCCATTGTCCCTCAAGCGAGAAAGCGGAGCCTGAATAGATCATAAAGCACCATATGCCATCTCTTGAATCGACACCTAAACAAACAAGACACATCTAACAGAAGATTACTTATAGCAGCATATGGCCCACGCACTAAACATTAGCTAGAGCTTTGTTTTGATCTTCCTTCTATTTTAAATTTATCTGTTAGCTGCTGTTCTTTCTGTCAGGCATCTGATCCTAAAACAACCGCCACCACATCTGAACATCTCCTTAACACACCACCCGAGTGTGTGTGTGTGTGTGTGTGTGTGTGAGAGAGAGTGTGTGTGAGAGTGTGAGTGAGAGTGTGAGTGTGTGTGTGTGTGTGTGTGTGTGAAAGTGTGTGAGTGTGTGAGTGTGTCAGCTGAGTCATGGCAATCCTCCCTCAACCTCATTCACAAAAAAGGGCCGCTCGTGTCTAACCCGCCCATCTCGATGCCCTTCGCATCACCGGCCATCGCTCATTTAACCACAACAATCACACAATACCAGTCCAAGCTGCTTCCATCCTAACAGCTGATCTCGACAGAAGAGGTTTTCTAAATCTGTTCTGTCGTCGTTAACGGAAGCTGCTATGGAACATCAGCGACAGAACAGCAGCAGCAGCAGCAGCTCGTGATGCTGTCGGTGTCCGGTGTTCGCTCACCTGATTAACGGCAGTCATCTGAATTCCCCCGGACCGCACAGAAACGACAGAAGCACCGTCTGACAGACTCCGCCATACTGGATCTTTGATTCGGGAATCACGTGTGGCGGGAGTGAGAGGCGGGAACATCGGACCGCGCGCGCGGTGACGTCACGCTGATCGTAGCGATCAATAACGCGTTTCTTCGGCGCGTCCTGCCGATGTTTAAGTCAGACGATATCAAAGTCAACTTTATTGTAATTTTTAGCACATTGCATGGCAATGGTTAAAAGTAGTGATGGGAAACCGAGGCTATCTAAACCGTTTGAGGCTTTCATCAAATTGTGCCGAAAAACGGTTAATTACTCGAAGCTTTTAACACAGTGCGCATTAGCGACATCTGGTGGCCAGACTCGGGTTCTCCAGCTTCTCCAACGAAACATCGCAGAGCAGAGCATGGATTGAAAAAGTTTTTAATCTGTGACAACTCGTGTCATGCGCAGTCCGGTCAGTGGATTCACATATTGATCAATAATATAAAATATACAACTGTGTGATTATAATTAATAATTGACGTGAGTAGTATCAAAAATATGTTGGGTGAGCTGTTCGGGGTCTCTGAGACCCCAGCTAGAACATGATAAAATACCCTAACCCTGGGGTGAGATATAGGTGCTCATCAGACTAGCTGTTGAGAAGTCTGATTGTTTGTGGGAAGAAATCTGTCAGTTCTGGTCTGAATGCTTCTCAGTCTCCTTCCAGATGGGAGAGGCATGAACAAGGCGTGGGAAGGGTGAGAAGGATCCTTCATGATGGAGGTTGCCCTCTTCACACACCTGGTGCTGTAGATATCTTCGATGGTGATGTGCCGTGCCGTCTTCACTATCCGTTGTAGGGCTTGCCTGTCAGATGCTGAGCAATTTCCATACCAAACTGTGAAACAGCTGGTTAGTACACTCTCAACGACACATCTGTAGAAAGTCGTGAGGATAGACGGGTCATGCCTGCTTTCTTCAGCCTTCTCAGAAAATATAGGCGCTGTTGGGCTTCTTTACTAAGCAGGAGGTGTTTAGTGAGCATGTGAGGTCGTTAGAGATGTGCAGTCCCAGGAATTTGAAGCTTTGTGTTGTTTTAACCTCAGTGCCATTGATGGATAATGGCTGGTGTTGGGCTTTGGTGCGTCTGAAGTCAAAAATCATCTCTTTTGTCTTGTTGACATTCAAAGCGAGATTGTTGTAGTCACACCAGGCTATGAGATGGTTCACTTCATCCCTGGTGTGACTGCAACAATCTCTCTTTGAATGACATCTGTATTTAGTAATGGGTGCGAATGGAGATTTCATTCCCGGCGGAGTGATGGATTATGTCATGTTTCTAACCCTCATCTACATGTTGATTTATGTTATCCTCTTGTTCTCTGTTGCGTGGTTTTATTGGAGTTCACAATCATAAGTTCTCTGTCTTTGGTGAGGCTTCACAAACTCTTCTGATCAGAAATCACTGTGGACATAAAAGATCCAAAACATTACAATATTATACAGTAATTCTCTTCCGAGACTAGCTGTTGAGAAGTCTGATTGTTTGTGGGAAGAAATCTGTCAGTTCTGGTCTGAATGCTTCTCAGTCTCCTTCCAGATGGGAGAGGCATGAACAAGGCGTGGGAAGGGTGAGAAGGATCCTTCATGATGGAGGTTGCCCTCTTCACACACCTGGTGCTGTAGATATCTTCGATGGTGATGTGCCGTGCCGTCTTCACTATCCGTTGTAGGGCTTGCCTGTCAGATGCTGAGCAATTTCCATACCAAACTGTGAAACAGCTGGTTAGTACACTCTCAACGACACATCTGTAGAAAGTCGTGAGGATAGACGGGTCATGCCTGCTTTCTTCAGCCTTCTCAGAAAATATAGGCGCTGTTGGGCTTCTTTACTAAGCAGGAGGTGTTTAGTGAGCATGTGAGGTCGTTAGAGATGTGCAGTCCCAGGAATTTGAAGCTTTGTGTTGTTTTAACCTCAGTGCCATTGATGGATAATGGCTGGTGTTGGGCTTTGGTGCGTCTGAAGTCAAAAATCATCTCTTTTGTCTTGTTGACATTCAAAGCGAGATTGTTGTAGTCACACCAGGCTATGAGATGGTTCACTTCATCCCTGGTGTGACTGCAACAATCTCTCTTTGAATGACATCTGTATTTAGTAATGGGTGCGAATGGAGATTTCATTCCCGGCGGAGTGATGGATTATGTCATGTTTCTAACCCTCATCTACATGTTGATTTATGTTATCCTCTTGTTCTCTGTTGCGTGGTTTTATTGGAGTTCACAATCATAAGTTCTCTGTCTTTGGTGAGGCTTCACAAACTCTTCTGATCAGAAATCACTGTGGACATAAAAGATCCAAAACATTACAATATTATACAGTAATTCTCTTCCGATTGGAACAGCCTGTGTGTATTTTATTGAAGTAGAGACTTTTGTCTTTCGCTTGGCATTTATTAATTTAAGGCTTGGGCAGACACCAGCATTAGGCTACAACAGCAGCAAAGCAATATGAGAAACAGATTACAGTGATTTCCTTCTTTCATAATGAAATAAGTGAAGAGTTCAGATGCAAAAGCCTCTTAGTGCTGTTTGAAATGTTCTTCTAAAATGAGCGTTAAATGAGCATATGTTTATGTTCTGTTATTTCACATGAATG